AGAAAAAAAGAAAGAAAGAAAGGAAGGAAGGAAGGAAGGAAGGAAGGAAGAAAGAAAGAAAGAAAGAAAGAAAGAAAGAAAGAAAGAAAGAAAGAAAGAAAGAAAGAAAGACAGGAATTCCAGAGAAGCACAGGGTGTTTCTCCTAACACCACAGCTGTAGCATAAGCACAGCATAAAAGATGCGGATGAGAGGCGAGGGCACCCAGATGCCTGTGTTGGCACCAGTCACTCCTACTCCTCAGAAGAGCTCTGCTCCAAGTCCTTTAAAAAAAGATGTATTTTAGTTTTTTGTGTGTGGATGTTTTGCACGCATATATGTCTATACCATGTGGGTGCCTGGTGTCTGCAGAGGTCGCAAGAGGGCACTGGGTCTTCTGGAACTGAAATTACAGGTGGTTGTGAGCCACCATGTGGTTGTTGGGAACTGAACCTGGGTCCTCTATAAAAGCAGCAAGTGCTCTTAGCCACGGAGCCATCTCTGCAGCCCCTCAGAGCCCTTCGTGAGCTTGTCCCTGAGCTCATGCCATTAATAGCAGTAATGGCACTGGGTTTCCAATTTCCAGCCTATACAGCAACTTTTCCAATATATTTTCATGTTAAAATAATCCGGCATGAGGTGGGGGGGTTGGTGGGCAGAAGCAGGTGGAGCTCTGTGAGTTCAAGGCCAGTGTCTAGTCTACAAACACTAGTTCCAGGACAGCTAGGGCTGTTACACAGAGAACCCCTGTCTCGAAAAACAAAACAAAAAACAACAAAAGCAAAACCAAAAAGCAATTATTATTATGTTTATTTTTTAGCATGACTGACTTTGTTTTTAAAGGTTTCATTCAATTTATGTGCATTATTGTTTTGTCCACATTCATATCTGCGTGAAGGTGTTAGATTCCCTGGAACTGTAGTTACAGTTATGAGCTGCTGTGTGGGTGCTTGGAATTGAACCTGGGTCCTCTACCCTGGAAGAGCAGTCAATGCTCTTAACTACCAAGCCATTTCTCCAGCCTGTTTTTTTTTTCGTATTTTACAACGAGGTCTTGTTATGTAGTCAGGGCTAGCTTTGAACTCTTTCAGATCCTGCCTCAGCTTCCAAGTACTGGTATGCAGTACTGTGTTCAACTTGTAGATCCATCTATGTGAGAGATGTCTAGAATGTATAGAGGGAACATGTGTCAGTGAGGTGTCCAACAGATAAGCGTGTGACTTAGACACTCATGTTGAGAGTTCCTAGGTTTCTGGATTGATGTTTTTTAAAGACTTTTTTTTTAATTTTTAATGTTACATGTCATATGTTTCGCCTGCATGGAAGTATGTGCACCACATTCATGTCTTATACCTTGAGAGACTGGAAGAGGGCATTGGATCTCCTGGAACTGGGGCTATAGGTGGTTAGGAGCTGCCATGGAAAGTGTGTCTGGGGGGTTGGAGAGATGGCTCAGTGGTTAAGAGCACTGACCTGCTCTTCCAGAGGACCTGGGTTCAATTCCCAGCACCCACATGGCAGCTCACAGCTGTCCATAGCTACAGTTCCAGGGGATCTAACACTCTCATACACAGACATGAATGTGAACAAAACACCAATGCACATAAAATAAAATCTGAAAGAGAGACTGTCTAGTCGCCACATGTCCACCATGGCATGTATGCCCAAATATACATGCATACAAAATGTAGTTAAATCAATATTGTGCTGTAATAGGATCCTAGCAAGGACCCTGGAAGGGAAAAACCTAATTTCCCCGGACAATAGCTTGGCTATTGAGGGAGACTGGTTCTGCTGTGGTTAAGATAGCAGATCACATTTGAATACATTGCTTTTGTCTTTTCTGTTTATTTTACCCATCAGTTTAGTTGATTTTTTTTCTCCAGTAAGAAAACAATCCCCAAGGTGCATGTGTTGTTCAGTCTTAATGTGGAGGCTGCAGGAAGCAGGCACGGTTATTTATACTGGCCTGCTGTTGGTTGTTTGTGTTTGTGTCTCTATGCCAACTCAGGCAGGAGGCCCTGACTCTTCCTAGGCATCTTTAGTTCAGCCACAGGATTCTGTGTCCATAGATTGGAGACTCGAAAGGCCTTTCCTGCTTGACATTTTGTTTTCTAACTTTCCCTAGCAAGGTGTGAAATTCAGAATGTCGTTGATAATTGACAGAATTATAGAAGAGAAGGAATCCCTAAGAAGCAAAGACCAGGGCTGTGTCTGGCCCAAAAAGGAATCTGTCCCCTGCCATCTATGCTGTGTGGTTCCCTTGTCTTCCCATTACTGCTTCTACTTCCTCTTCCTCTGTCTCTCCTGGCCTCTTGGATTTATCTAGATTACCCTTTTGTCTATTATTTGCTTAGTTTGGGTTTTTGTTGGTTGGGGTTTTTATTTGTTTTGGGAAGACAGTGTCTCATTTATCCCAGGCTAACCAAAATGATCTTGAACCACTGATCTTGCCTCCACCTCCAGAGTCCTAGGATCATTAGCTTGGCCACCACACATGACCTTATGAGAGACATTTTTTTTCTGTCAAAGGTATAGCCTGACAAGGGTCCTATTCCTTGGAATCTTTCTAGAGCCTCGTCTGCGTGTCTTGTCAGTTCTGCCACAGGCAAGTGTACAAGTGTTGTCGTAAACATATATTCATGAAGCTAGCTGTGTGCTGTTCAAGAAATTGTCCTTGCCGGGCAGTGGTGGCACACACCTTTAACCCCATCACTCAGGGAGGCAGAGGCAAGTAGATCTCTGTATGTTTGAGGCCAACCTGGTCTACAGAGTGAGTTCCAAGCCAGCCAGAGATACACAGAGAAGCTCTGTCTCAAAAACAAAACCAAAGAGTCTTGTCTGGCAAGAATCCAGGGTATAGGATTCGAGAGTGACGCTGAGATGGACTGTTGGGGGTAAGAAGTTTATTATCAGGACAGAAAGGCAACAGAAATGGCAGGGCTTTGAGGAGACTCAGGCCATGCAGCAGAGTTGGGGTCCCTTCTTACAGATTTTACAGGAGCCTGCTGCCTGGCTGTCTCTCATTCCCTAGCAGGCACAGGAAAGGGGGAGAAGAGAACATGTCAGTGTATTGTAGTTCTTTGATATGTCTGATTGTCCAGTCTGCCAGCGCAGAGTGCTCACTTGGGGAAGTAAGAAGCCAGGTACCTGGAAGTCTGTTAGCTAAAGATTCAGGTGGTGGTCTTAGGAGGATGCCTGCCAGTTTCTGTCTGCCTGGGACGGGGACGACTGCTTCAGGTACTGTGTCCTGAGCAACAACCTGGTCTGGATTCCGAAGAGCTGTAGAGGTGGCTCAGTGGATTGGAGTGCTTGCTGCGCAAGCAAGGGGTCCTGAGTTCAAATCCCCTGGCACCCATGTAAAAATCTGGGAGTGGCCATGCATATGCCTATATCAGCAGTGTTCTATACAAAGGGGACAGGATTGGCCAAGCCAGTTTTCTTTATTCATTAGCCAGTCATATTCACAGCATACAAAGGGGAATCCCACATCACTAGGCTTGCTGGCTGCCAGCATAGTTACATAGTTCAGAGACCCTGTCTGATGGGACTAAGGCAGAGAATGAGAGAACGGGACACCCAGTGTTCTCTGGCCTCCACATACATGTGCACATGTTCAGGTACATGCATGAGTGCATATACCACATACATGCATGCATGCACACACACACACAGACAGACAGAACTGTGTCTACTTTCCTAAGAGTGCTCATTTCCTTTAGACTTGCCCTCATGGCCCCCTTACCCTAGAGCAGAGGGATCCTGCTGGCCTCTGTGGCTATCAGTTTTTGGCATGTGGCTTGGTGTTCTTGATTACTACTGAAGCATAAAGTGACAGTCACCTTTAATACATGTTTTAGTATAGTAGTTGAGAGCACAGAGCAGGACCAGAATGCCTGCCTCTTTTCCCCGGCATTTGCTGTTTAATGACTGTAGACCCACATAGCCTCATTTAGACGTGTCTCAGTGTCCCCAGAGAGCCCGTGCTAAACTGGATCCCCGAGATCCGATATCAGAATCACAGGCAAGGGAGTCTGATTGCTCATCTGGGGTCAGGTGTCTTCCGGATGTGTTGATTGATGGTCATGGAGACGTGGTACAGAATAACCGTGTCCCCTCCCCAAGAGGCCGCAGTGTAGCTGAGGTTGGCCTGCACCATAGAGACTGCTCCTCAGTGTGCTGGATGTGGGCTTGTGCCTCCACAGCCGTTCACACACTTCACTGCTTTTGCCTTTTCTTTCTTGAGACAGGGTCTCTGTCTATCTCTACATACCCTGACTATCCTAGAACTTGCTGTGTAGATTAGGCTGGCCTGTAGCTCACAAAGATCCTCCTGCCTCACACAAGAGATAGATGAATGTAATAAGAGTCGTTTTAGAGTTTGTCTTTCCCTTAGCAGCTCACCAGTCCTCCCTTGTGCACCAGGTGACTTTACCTCTCCTGAGCTTTGTTGCTGTCCTCGGCCCCAGCGCATTTCTTGCATTAGTGGCCAGGATAATCCTTCTCGCTCGTCGCCTCACTGATAACATCTGAGACTGACAGGCAGTGTTTGTGACCGGTAAAAGAACTGTTCGCTTCAGTCCCTCCTGGGAAAGCCATGGCCAAGTCTCGCTGTCCTCACTTTTCGCAAGCCGTATCCTGTTCCCTTCCTGCAGGGCGGCTTTGCTCTCCCCAGAACCTGGGGGCTTGCTGAGCCTCTACACCCTTGGCTGTGTCCCTCAGCATCCGTCTCTGGTGGAGACATCACTCATGACTGTTCAGCTGCAGTGAGCTCCAGAGAGCTCGCAGGGAATGTTGAGAGAGTGGCCTAGAGGTGGAGGTGGAGATTGTTCAAGATTATCGAGTATCTGAAACAGTAGGCAAGCCGTCTGTCAGGGAACGGTCCATAGCAGTGGTAGGAGGGAGAGAAATCTTCCAGTGAGCGAGCTAGCTCTGATTGATCTTGGGCAAATATCTTCACAGCTAACCTTCTCTCGGCTCCCTGGAAATATCCTGCCTGTCTTTGGTTGCAGTATTCAAGGGCAAACTGGCCTTGGAGGCATACTCCTTTAATCCCAGCACCAGGGAAGCAGAAGCAGGCAGATCAAGGGCAGAGGATTGACAAGTTATTCACTCCATAGTTAGGAAATAAACATTTATCAACATGTCTTATTTTTGTAACTCTTACTGGTTTTTTTTTTTTTTTTATTTGGGAAAATAATTGACTTTTGCATCTACGCCTTTCCCTAGCTCACTAATCCACACCCATTCTTGGGAGTGTCTTTGTCTTTCCTAATAAACTGTGTCTATAATTATTTAGAAATTAAATTTGCAAAAATATTACCAAAAAAAAAACTTTCAAAAGTAACCTTTGGCCCTGCGGTGGTGGAGGCAGAGGCAGGTGGATCTCTGTGAGTTCAAGGCCAGCCTGGTCNAAAAAAAAAAAAAAAAAGTAACCTTTGCCCTTCACCTCAGTTTATCTCTTGTGTAATAGTGACTCCCACATTAGAAAACAACAAGAAGCCGGGCGGTGGTGGCGCACTCCCTTAATCCCAGCACTTGGGAGGCAGAGGCAGGCGGATCTCTGTGAGTGTGGGGCCAGCTTGGTCTCCAAAATGAATCCAGGACAGCCTGGAAATGTTACACAGAAAAACCCTGTCTCAAAAAAGAAACCAAAAAAACAAACAAACAAAAAAAACTAGGGTGGACAGTAGTCAGGTGAATGTCTTTGATCCCAGCACTGGGGAGGTAGAGGCTGGTGGAGCTCTGTGTTCGAGACCAGCATGATCTACAGAGCAAGTTCCAGGATAGAACAACATAGTACCTCAGCATCTCCTTTTTGTTTTGTTTTGAAACAGCGGTTCTTTGTGTAACCGTCCTGCTGTCCTGGAACTAGCTGTGTAGACCAGACTGGCCTCAAACTCACAGAGATCTGCGTGCCCCTGTCTCTGAGTGCTGGAATTAAAAGTGTGCACCACCACTGCCTGGCGCCTCAACCTCTCATTACTGGAGATCTTAACGGGATGTTAGGCTTGGTGGTTTAGACAGGTTTTGCTAGTCGAGGCTAGCCTCAAGCTGGAAGAGTCCTGGGAAGCATGATGCCCGGCTTGGCAGAGTCAAGTCACTTCGTCGTGGTGAGGCCCCTGCTTTCTCCACTCTACCGTTCCCCACTCCGTGGTCACTGTCCATCGTCCATGAAGTCCTGTGATGTGATCATGTTTGTCCCGTTTCCTTCCACCACAGTTAATCAAATCAGCAAAGTTACGGTCTTAGGAAATGAGGCTTTGGGGAATTGAGTAGGTTATGAGGGCAGAGGCTTCAGGAGGATAGAATAGGGAGAAAAAAAAAGAAAGAAAACAAACTTTTGTGTCCATTTGGTAGACTCGGAGCTGTGGGGGTTGGGACTGGAGACAGGGTTCTCACATTAACAGCACATTCTGCTTCTGCTAAAGGAGACTTTCAGGTTACTTCTTGTTTATTTTCTCAGGGCCTGTGTCTGTCCTCAGCCTCTGGTTTGATTTAGAATTCCTGTGGCTCTGTGTACGTGTTACAGTCCTATAGCATCTGTTTACTGTTCCGTTCAGGTCAGAATGCTTTCGTGATACCCTGTTATTTACATCTGCCCAGCTTGCCCAGGCTTGCTGGGAGGAATTGAGTGCTGTCTGGGTGCAGCCTTGAAGACACGCCCGGCACACTGATTGTTAGAGGCCTTGAAAGGACTGCTCCAGGCTTTGGGGTGTTCGGTAGGAGTGTAGTTTTGTTTAGGTTTCAGGAGGTGTGGGGAGGAGCGGGGAGGAGAGGGGTGGTCTTTAGCTGTGCCAGAAGGCAGCACAGTTTTGGTTCAGTGTTGAGGACAGAGAGTGAGAGCATTGAGCAAAAGCAGGTTTGCAGCAGCTGTTGGGAAATGCTAAGCTGTAGCCTCAGAGTCTCTTCTCCGGGTTAACCCTTTCCCACACTCAGTCATTTTAGACGCCATCTTTGCAAATCTACACCAGTCCCCCTGGATTCCAACACTGTTCACCCTGCATTGAGGATGGAAATAGAAACCTCAGGAGAAATGCAGGGACCCGTAGGGAGGTCAGAAATGGGTTGCAGCTGGGAGGAGGAGCTGGTATTGTTAGTGCTCCATGGTTTTCTTGTTTGTTCCTTTGTTTAGTTTGTTCTGCAGTGCTGGGGTTTGAACCCATGGCCTTACTATATAGTACTGATGACCTTGAATTCACTGTGTAGACCAAGCTAGCCTCAGATCACAGAAGTCTGCCTGCCTCTGCATCCCCAGTGCTGGGATTATAGGTGTATGACAACATCACCTGGCCATTTTTTTTCCTAACAAGAAGTCTGTCTCAGAGCTGCAAGTGTGGCTCCGTGGTGTATTAGTTACTAGCTTAGTCTGCCCAAGGACCAGAATTCAATCCCTATCACTACCCAAAATGCTAGATGATGGATGGGTGGATGGATGGATGGTGGGTGGGTGGATGGTGGGTGGATGGATGGTGGG